CACAGAACCTCTGGACCAGTCAAAATAGGTTGTTTTTTCCATTCTTTCCCAGTCAAGGTCACTTCAGCTTCCAACAGAGTCAACTGCTGAGACCCCCCTGTCATCCCAGCAACGGAAACAGGTTCTGTCCCCACCATGTCATGATGGCATCAGCGTAGATTGTATGCCAGTGTCAGTCAAAGCTTTGTATTTTTGTGGTTCTGATGCACCAGGATATTGGATCCACACAATCCAATAGACACAATTAGCCCATGTCTCTATCTAGTGAGAGGCAGAGACCCTCTAGTTCTGCCTATCATTCACTCCCTGGGCATACATTCTGGAGGTCCCTTCAAGAGGGTCAGACATATCATCTTCACTTCGGTTCTGCCCAGGAACACACCCACAGGAAACAAAATTCATTCTTGTTAGTCGTTTCTTCTTTTAGTTTATGTACCTGTGCTGCTAAGATGGAAGTGGATTTTCTGTCCCATCTTCTCATGTCCTCTCACATTCACAGAGGAAGAACCATAGCTTGCCTCGTGGATTGTACTCCCTCTCCCTAGCTGTGGGATGCCTACTAGCATAGCAGAGATTCTGGTCTGTACTGCTGAAATGTAGAAAACGCTCTCCCTAAGCTCCTTTCTGAGTTTTTGATGGCTGTCTGATGGCTCTCTGATAGCTCTCTTCAATCCTCTCTTCCAATTTCCACATATACTCAGCCAGGTCGTTTTTCAAGGCTGAGGCTTCGTCTCAGGTTGGGATGTGGACAGTTGTCGCCCTGAAAACTCAGCTTCTGAGCTTGCTGACATGGTTTTCTAAAGATTTTCCCAGGACAGTAACTGTAAACATAGATATGTGTACATTCTTTCTGTTACACATCTTGTGATGGGCATCTCTCATGGCCAGTGCAGTGAGAAAGTGTTATCCTGACCATCCAATCCCTGGCCGTGGTCACAAGCCTATAAATCCTGGGACGAAAAATAAACTCTCTCTTCCTTTCACCACACCTCGACCTGTGTCTGTGTGATCTATTCGTCTTCAGCAGCAACAGACAGTGTCTTCATATGTCTATAGCCTTCTTGTCATAATACTCACTGTCTCATTTTCATCATTCCATTGCAGCATCACTAGGAATTGGGAGTACATTTGTGTCGCAAGCTGTGCAAGTTTCAACCACATTAATGTTGTAGTGTCTGGAATTCTTTTGTTTTCATCATTATTTGAGACTATCATAGCCTTTCAAGCTTTATCACAGTTCTTTCAAGATTTGGATTCCTTGCTTGGTGGTTTTACAAGGGCCTTGATGCAGCTGGAGGTGCTCTTGGCAAAGGCATCTCTCCTTCACAATTGCTAAGACCTGCATCCAGAGGCTGAGAGTTTGGACCTTCTTGCAATCCCCTGGTTGATACCCACATCACACAAAAGAAATCCCAAGTGCCTTGCTTCAGTGCCATCCAAAATTGTATCATCACCTGCAGTGTCCCAGACTTGAATCAGCCAGCTCGGTATAGACTCGCTTGTTCATCAGGTGAGGTATTTCTGCGGATTGAATAGACTTTCTTAGGAGAGGGATTTGATGGTTAAGTCCAGCTCTGATTCCTCTGCTGGCTGTGAGTATTCTGCCTCCCCCATCATCCATCAGGCAAATGCACTTGGTCTTGTATTTCCTCCTCTGGACAGGGGTGACTACTACTGGCTTAGGTTGCCCTTCTGGTTTAACTGTAGCCTGAGTGACCAGGGTGTCTGATGATTTGTTCCTCTTCCCCTTCAGCTGTAGGTGCTGCTGTGCAGTAATGACCATCATGCAATAAACATTATCCATGTCCCAGCACAGTGCAGTAAGTTACCCTCTTTGGAGCTGCTACTGTAATTTTCCTTCAAATATTCTGTTACCTTTGCTGGGTTCTGTATTTGTTCAGGGGAAAATTTCCAAACCATTGGACTAGGTCATTTTTTCAAAATCTGGCTTACATCCTCCCATATTCCATGCCACTCAGGATTTTTCACCCCTGGGACAGATCTCTGGGCAACCTCCCTGGAAATCTCAGCCCTGATTCTAAACATGTTGTGGACTGCTATGTATAGAGGAGACATAGCAGAATTAGCAACAAGAGTATAATGTCTTGACATCCAGAGGGAATTCAGCAATCTCAAAAAGTGATGTGCTAGACCTGAAGAGGTAGAAGGAGGTGAAAGGTTGGGAAATATCATCCCCTCCTTTTCCACCAACAGGTTGGGTGAGATTGTTAATAAGCTTTCAGAAACAGCAGCCCAGACCAGGACAGGCAAACAACAATGAATACACATCTGAAATGATCTTTATTACCTCTGATATTATCTTTCCATAAACTGGTATCATGGAGTGTATAAACAAAGCAATCTTGGTTTGTATTCCTCATCTGAAAAAGAACACATGTGAATAAATGACTGCTGTTTCATTCTAGCCTGTGATGCACCAGGGCTGAATGGGGTTTTTCATTCTGTACCAGGACACAGTAGAGCAAGGCAAGTGTTAAAAAAGAGAACTGGAAGGACATAAGAATACATGAGTAAGAGCTGGAGTGATTTGGACATCTTTTACTCTAAGAGGAGAGAGAGAATATAGCAGGCTGAAAAGGACAAAAAAAAACCAAACCCAAACCTGAAAATAACCCAACCAAACCAAACCAAACCAAAGTATACCAAAAACTCCCAATATTTTTATTTATGTTCAAAGCAAACTTGATAATTAATTCCTTGAGGTGCATTAAGCCTGTCAATTTAGTGTGTTCCATGGTATGCTGCAAGCATGGGCTCCTGTAAGCTGTGCCAGCAACTGTGTAAGTAACTGCCAGTCAACTCCCTGGCTTCATGAAGGAACAAACCAAACAAATACGTTGATTAGAAACCAAAGTGTAAAAAGATAGTTGACAGCATGGCCTGCTCCCTACTGGCTGTAAGGTTAAAGACCTTAAAGCCAGAGAAGCTCTGGAGTTCAAAATCACACGCTGTTGTGATGCCTGTTTGAAGTGACAAATAAGAATTTTTCAATAGTGAAATCATTTATTTTTTTACTGTCTCTGAAGTATTTTTCATCTCTGTTTCAGAGAAAATGATGATCTGAAATATGTGCAGAGGTCAGAGGATGTGCATGTTCCAGATTTACATTTATGAAAGGGAAAGTAGTATCTGTGTGCTTATAAGCATATGTACGTTCTTGCACTGCAATCATGGACCCATTTGCCTGAACTGAGCCCTTTGCTTTTGTATTCATACTGCAATAAGCTACACATGAAGTAGCCCATGCAGAGCAATATGATGGAGTTGTAATCCAGAGGATGTTGTGAAAAGTCTACTCCTTCCCAGCATTAATTGTTCCCACAGCATTATCACACTATATTCTTGTAAAAGTATATTTTTATGTATTCAGCTTCTTCTATCTTGGTTGTATTGACAGAGACATTTGTGCTACTGGGAACTGACCAGGATAGGCAAAAAAAAAAGTTTTTTCATTTATGAAAAGTTACTTTTCATTCATCATATAGTTATTTGGAATGCTGTTAACTATGCAACTGATTGTACTTATGGGTTGGGAGGAGGAGGTGGTTACAGGGGTGGACTGATACCATCAGTTGCAGAACTCTGGTGGTAAAGCATCATTATCTGCCACCCATGGGATAAGTGCAGCAGTCTTGGGTCTGTACACAGTGGTGGCCTGGGGCTGGAATTTGAGCGCACCTACTATAGCCAAGAAAGAAGTCATCATAATAGACTTCATGAGACATTCATAAAAAGGAGAATAGTGATTTATTTCTAAATGAATGCTGACCCATTTCTGAATATTCCAAATCCTGAGCTGGTATGCTAAACTTGAGTTGTTCTTCCTCTGTTAATCTGTAGATACCTGAGCTGAGAGAAAGAGAAAATGAATTTGTATTGTGTGCTAGATCAGAGCATTCTGGTATTTTAAACTGTTTAGGGCATCCATATAATCTTCAGAGAAATTTCAACTGGAGTCCAAACTAGTGTTGTGATACTACTGCTACTACTGATGATGATAATTATAATAAGAGTAATGAAAATATGAGAGAGAGAGAGAAATAGCATCCAAGAGAAACAAGTGATGAACAATACCATTGCTCACCACCTGCTGACTGGTGCCTAGTCTGTCACCAAGTAGTGATCACTGGCTCCAGTTTATATATAGGGCATGATGTTTCATAGCGTATGCCTTTGGCCAGTTTGGATCAAGTGTCCTGGCTATGCTCCCTCCCAGCTTCTTGTGCACCTGCTCACTGTCAGAGTATGGGAAATTCAAAAGTCTGTGATTTGGAGTAAGTTATTACTTACTTGTATTTATCAACTATAAAATCATCAGCGTGTTATCAGCATTATTCTCATATTAAACCCAAAACACAGCAATGTATTAGCTAAGAAGAAAATCAACTCTATTCCAGAAAAAAAAAAAACAAACCAGGACAGCAAGTTTGCTTAACAAAATCTCATACTGGAATAGTTTGAATTAATAATAATTGAATTAATAATAGCAGGGAAGTAGTGCAGGTTCCCAAAGGTCTTTATTTCATATATGCATCATATGTACTAGGGATTTTTTTTTACTGTGCTGATTTTCCACCATATGACTCAACTTTAAGTATGCATATTGACCAGTTGAATCAAGTTTCCTGATTCTGAGGCTTTAAACAGTGTTTTCCCTTCCTTCTACGAATGACCTAGAAAACAATTTAAGAAACTTGTGCTTTACTGAAAAAGGAGTACTAATACCAATGTGCTCTGTAGAAAACATCTATTTCTCTTACCAAGGATTAGCCACCTAGCTTCATTTGCATCCCTCCCATTTATGTATTTGTGCAGAAAATACTTCATCCTCTTCCCTCTCCCTGAAAGAGGAATTAAGAGTTACATACAAAGGCATTGCTGTCAATAATTTGCAGATAATAAAAGAAACTGGAGTGTGTCTGATGCTGGTTTTTGTGCTTCTCTTTCCTTGTTCCTCTCATTGTGATGGTATCCAAAAGGGAGTTTAGAGCTCTAGTCATTGAGATGGTGTTGGCTACCGACATGTCCTGTCACTTCCAGCAAATCAAAGCTATGAAGAATGCTTTGCAGCAACCAGAAGGGTGAGTCACTTCACAACATAGTGCAGTGGGGGGCTTCATTTCATCTGGTGCTTTGCCAACGTGTTTAACTTCAAAAGCACCTCTCTTTCCTTGATATCTACAGCAATTTTCTTTCTTCTGTTGAATTTTGAAATAATTCACTTAGGGAGGGATGGGCACATGCCTATATGCACATCTGTAGTCTGTGCTGGTGGCCCAAAGCTTTCAAATGTCACCATTGTGACATTTTTGGACATTTGACATACTGGGCATTTCCCTGGTGTGTAACATCAAGGACACGATTCATTAGAGTGACCTCTATAACTGAGTATGACTTAAGGTTGGTTATAAGATCTTTGCCCTTATGTAGATAGTATCAGCTGTCACCCCTGGAAGGAGCCTGCTTCATAACCAGAGAACAGACGAAAACTTGTGATCCACTGAGGGGAGGACTGGAAAATAATAGATGGAGCAGTATGGGAGAAGCCTTTCCTTCTTCCCAGTATGTTAATGGGAGCTGTAATATTTTGTCCACAGCTTTTCCCAAAAAAATTCCTTCTATATTGCTCTGAGTGATGGTCAGTTTTTCACTCTGGACACAGTTATTTCCAGAGCCTCACAGAATTATATCTGTATCAGATTTATACCTATATCAGAATTACACCTGTATCAGAGCAGGTTGTGGCTAGCCACCTGATCCCCTCAGAAGCTATAACTCTTTCAACCATTTCAGATAGCCAAAAAGCAGAATTAAACAATGAGAACACCCATGCCAAGAAGGCATTATTTACTGGGTTCTTGGGCTAGCCTCTTAGATTTTGATCATAAGAAATCATCAGCATTTTTTTTTCTGTGAAATCAGGATACACTAGTTTTCTATCAGTTATTTTGTAGACTTGTCAGAGCCATAGAGATCCCCACTGTTCATTACAGTGGGATAATCGGGACCATCTTCTCTTCTAAACTGCATAAAATACAACACTGATGAAACGGGGAACATTTCTTTTTGTGTTTCTTAGTATCTCTTTTAAAACAGGAATCATGTATGTTGGAGAAATCAAAGTTGTCTGATTTTATGGTCAGAGAAACCACTTCACAAATATCCTGGCCAAAGATTCTAATAATCTTATTTTCCTGTAGGTAAGATTTTTGTCATTCTTCCTTGCAAGAGCAGACAATTAATTTTTTTGATCCTTTGGGTTTCCAGAATTGACAAGCCGAAAGCCTTATCACTGTTATTACATACAGCAGATATCAGCCATCCAGCCAAAGCCTGGGATCTCCATCATCGCTGGACCATGTGTCTGCTAGAGGAGTTCTTCAGACAGGTAAAGCTAGGCAAGTTCTTTTCTGCAATTGAGAGGAGTGTGTAGGATTAGGTAAGGAAGTAGGAAAATATTAACACAGATATGTTGCTTTTTCTCTGATGTTTTTAAGAACCTCCTAAATGGTATGAAGCCTTCTCCTCTAACACCATAAGCACTGAGTATTATGCCTCTTAGGAAGCTAGTGTCTGATGCATTCCCTATAGATATAAACATTACCTACATAGTAGAAATTCTAATTTGGGAAGCTAATATGTCTTTCAATTAGGAAAACATGGAATATATGTCACTCTACTTAGCTCTAGAACCATAAAACCATGTTTGTGTAGCTGTACTTCATAGAACTCTACTTACATTTTTGTAATGGATGTGAAAAAGGCTTACTTTGCCCTTACTTAAAAAGAAGTTAACTGATCAAAATTATAGTTTATAGTGGACCAGCTGTTGACAGACCCACAAATCTAGACAAATCATTGAGCTCTGTGTGATGGTTATAAGGTTCTCAAGTGATTAATAAAAAACATCTAAAAAATGTAAAAAAAATTAAAAGGTAAAAGCAAACAGATCATTTAAGGAGTGTGTGGGATACTTTTCTCCAGTATGAATTACTAACCTAAGCAGTGCTAGCACTTAGGTGGTTATTTTCTCTACAAAGTCCAATAACTTCATGTTCTATAGTAAATCTAAATGCAAAAGGGAAAAATATGCCAAGAATTGTTTCACTGTCTGGAAACAGATAGCTCATGCCTGCAATTGATTCTTTCCTGCCACACAAGAGGCTCAAGAAAGTAGGATGATTTTAACATGAGTTTTAGGGGAAAATCTGTGCATATTTACGCTTTTCTAGCTCAAAGTTGTACTAAATGCGTTAAAATACACAACTGCTAAAGATTTGTGAGAGAATTAAGATTACCTCACATTAAGATGTAAGACCACGAAATCTTCAAGTTTCAATTTATTTTACACATGTAATGAAGACAAAACTATTATTTCATACATTTAAAAAAGTATTTTAATTTCAGCCAATAAATTCTACTTTCGTTTTGCAAGAAGAATAACAATACTTGTATATTAAGCTATATATAAAACTCATATTCTAATTCCAAATTCAGATGCAGTATTAATTTTCTCTTCTGGAAAATCATTAAGCTTACCATGAAGCATAGATTTGTGTTCATTGAATTTATTTAGTATTAGATCAATGAATACATCCCTATTTGATATTAGAAGAAAAACACACATGCTTCTCACAAATTGATGTCCTAGTTCTGATCAAGACAGGGTTAATTTTTGTAGCAGCCAGGAGGTGGCATGGCTAGGACCTGGAAGTTATTCTCTTCCATCCCTCTTTATTTTCCAGGTATGGGGGAAGGGCTTTTAATGGGTTTTTTGATTTTGTTTTATGGGTTGGGGTGGTGTTTGGTAAACATTTGCATGTGAGTTACTTCCTCTCTCTTGAGCTTTATTATTTCATTGATTTTTCCAGTACGTTATTGTTATTTCAATTGCTAATCTTCACCTTTTGTGCCTCCAATTGTCCCCTCCAGCCCACTGCAGGGGCAGGGGGAGGGAAAGGGGAAGACAGGAGTGAGTGGAACACAGTTTGGAGTTTTTTGGTGGGAGCACTAAATTGAAGAATACTTTTCCTAAACCAAAACAGCCTAGTTTGGTACCCACTGTGGGACCCAAAGAGTTGAGATAACAACAGATGTGGCCACAGAGGGTTAGAAACAAGCTTGATCTAATCATTAGTTTTACCATGTATGAAGCCACTGGTTGCAGTGTTGCTTGGTCTGTTCACAAGGTTGTGGTACCTAACTCTGGTAGTGAAGCCACACAACTGGGATCTCTGTCCTGGGATGTGGGCATTGACAAAGAGATTGGGAAGAAGACAGAAACTCTTAGCCTCTGGAGCAACTCCCATCAAGTGTGAGAGAAAGGTATTAATTGTTGCAAGTATTTTCTAGTAGTGTGGTCAAGCAGAAGAGAGGGTGTGGAGAAACATATCCACTACCAGAGAGAATTAGCTGTGCTGGTGGTAAGCTATAAGGATTCAAATAACAAGCAGTCCCTTGTAAACTCAGATCAGGTCCAGTTTACAAAATGCATGTGGCAGAAGTTTGTTTGCAGCACATCATTGTCGTACACCAACTCATTAGCACTGATGTCAGTGAAAGAAAGATAACAAAGAGGGCTTCAGGTGACTACACTACTGTGGCAATATGATGTGGCAATATGTGGCAATTATTTTTTTCCTTCCTGACTGTGGACAGACTTGAAAGATTCAAGCATATTAGAGAGGAAATGTCCTATGCCTCTCCAGTATGGACCACAGTCTCTGCTATTGGAAGCAGAAGTTGCTTCAGAAGTGATTGTCACTGAAGCACAGCTCCTTCTGGCACCCTGATAGCCTGTTCTGGGCTGGATGTTTAAAAGGAAAGTCCTTTTCACACATCATGCTTCAGATGCATTGAAAGTGGTTTGTTACTCAGAAAGCTCAAACAGAAACCCCTAATTGCCCAGGGATACTGGCCTGAAGTCAAAATCTCAAATTATGAATTGGCCTGAAGGCAAAAATTTTGTACTATCATTATTATTGGAGGAGGAAAAGATGACATGTGTTGAGGAGATCCCACCATATGTAATCAGCTATCATAATTAATTTCCCAAAATGAAAAGTGATATGTAGTCTTTACTGATGGTTCTGCTGTATTGTAGGAATATACCAAAAATCAAAAGCTGCTGTGTGGAGTTCTATGTGATGATTTGCAGAAATTAGACAAGATGGATCTAGGCTGCAGAGTTGTAAGATGTCCAGCTGGCTTTAGATTTTGCTGGATGAGAGAAATGGCCAGTGCTTTACCTCTACTCTGACTTGTGGATGGTAACAAATGCTCTGTGGGGGGGGCCCACAGACCAATGGAAAAAGACCAGTTTGCTGTATGGAGCAAACCCATCCAGACTGCTGAAATGTGGCAAGATATTGCTTCTTGGCTTCTAAAACTAAGTCATGTAGATGCAAATGTACCCAAGAACCAGGCTACTGAAGAGCATCACAACAATGGATAAGTGGATTGAGCTGCCAAGATTAAAGTGTCTCAGGTAGATGTGGATTGGCAGAATAAGGGTGAATTATTTCTGGCTTGATGGGCCCATGATGCGTCAGATCATCAAAGAAGAGATGCAACAGGGAGGAGATGGGCTTGTGATTGAGGGTGGACTTTGCCATGGATCCTATCTCTCAGGTTATCCACAGCTGTGAAATCTGCACTGAAGTCAAGCAGGCCAAGTGGGTAAAGCCTCTGTGGTGTGGGGGGCAATGGTTGAAATATAAATATGAGGAGGGCTTGGAGATTGATTACATCACAGTCTCTCAAACCCATCAAGAAAGTACTATGTACTTACAGTGGTAGAAACAACCACTGGAGATGTGCTCTGTGCCTCATGCCACTGCCTGTAATGCCATCTTGGGCCTTGAAAAACAAGTTTTGTGGCAACATAACACCCCAAAAAGAATTGAGTCAGACAACAGCACTCATTTTGATAATCACCACATAGATACTTGGGCCAGAGACCATGATATGGAGTGGGTGTATCATTCCCAGCCTCTGGGAATATTGAATGGTACAATGGGCTGTTAAAAATCATATTGAAAGCCACAGGTCATGGGACATTCAAACATTGGGATCTACATTTTGTGGAGGCCATCTGGTTAGTCCATACTAGAGGCTCTGCTAATTGAGCTCCCCCTGCGTAATTAAAACCTCCATATGCAAAACCTCCACATGCACAGGGACACAAAGTCCCTGTGGTGCATATGAGGAATATGTTTTGAAAGACAGTTTGGCTTAGTTCTGCCTCAAGCAAATGTGGGATTGTTTTGCTCAAGGATCTGGGAACACTTGGTGTGTAATGCAGAGTGACGGGGAAACACTATGCATACCTGGAAAGGATTTGATTTTTGGGTGAGAATAGTCTGTAATGTTGAATTCTGTAATATTGGCTGCTGAATGACACTGCCAGTGTGCACCACAGCCATCATGGACAATGGATATAGACTGCTCCAGATACACCAGTTGTGAGCTCCTGATGCAGCTTGCAACCACCCAACAGCACACCAGCCCTTCTGCCCTGGAAAACCCCTAGGACAGATAAAACTCACACTCATGGACTAAATGAACTCAACAGGCATCTTGGAGGGATGGCTATTAACTATAGAAATGATAATAGTGCTTGTAAATACATACATATATATATTTATATGTTTTATATATTTATGCATTAATATAGATGGAAAATGTAGGATCTGGGCACAATGCAAATGGTATAGAATAAGGGGTGGGTACTGTCCTGATTCCAAACAGGATGGGGTAATTTTTACAGCAGCCAGAAGAGGCATGGCTAGGACCTGGAGTTTATTCTATATCACTTCACATAATTTTCCTGGGATGGGGGAAGGACTTTATTCTGGGTTGTGATAGTGTGGTGGCAGTCAGGTTGGGCTCCATGCTGAGCATCTGCATGTGAATCACTTGCTGTTCTCCTGTACAATTTTGCTATTCATATTGTTGATTTTACTGTTTGTTTTCTTGTCTCATTGCTGTTTCCAGAAGATTGTTCTTAAGTTATGATCTGTATCTTTTTTATGTCTTCAATTCTTCTTTCCAACCCACTCCAGGGGGAGGGGAACAGGTAATGGAGAGTGAGCGAGTAGTGCATGGTTTTGAGGTTTTCAGTGGGAGCACTAAATTGGAGAATACCATCCCTAAACCATATTGAGAACTACTACTAGCCAAGGGATTAGTAAGGGATGGTTAGTATGGTTAGTAAGGGACTTGCTTGTCCTAGGATTGCATATTTATTTCCTTATGGCCACTTATTGCAGACCTTTTCCTTTCCTTCCTGCTAAGTGTTCTTCAGAGACATAAAGCCTGACTTAACCTATATCAGAAAAGATCCCCAGCTCTGTTGATTTCCCAGCATTTTGAGATGTGACATGACACAGGTCTTCATACACCAGGTGACCATGCTGTAGGTGTGAAAGATTAGAAGTACAACACTGTTTTTTTATGTTCAACATTTATGAGCATCTCTTACAGCAAACATCTTCCCTTAATTAATTAGTTCTACTAATGTGTTTTAGCTAGCCATTAGGAAGCTGCTCAAACAGCTTAGAAACCAAGTGTCTCTCTGAGCAGTCACAAAGACAGGCAGGTGTTCCTTTCCAAGACAATTAGCCACTGTGGCTTTTACAAGGTCTAAGAAATAAAAGAAGACTTATGAGCAGACATTGAGAGATGTTTTTTTCTGAGTGACACAGCTGACACAGTAAAGGAATGTCACTTGGAAATATTTCTGTGTTTAGTTTTAACCTGATATTTGTATATCAGGCTCCTAACATAAATCAGAATTGCTCTACAGTAGGACACTATTGCTTGTTGTTCTACAAAAAATCCTAACAGAACTTGTGCCCCCCTTCCATGTATGTTATATTAACAAAAATAAGAAGAATTCAGCTCTTCTTATACCCACAGAAGATTTTCTCTGCTTAGTTTCCTGAATATTTTAGCTTCTATTTGACATTAGTCAGAACACTGGCAAGAAGTCCAGTACAATTATAGTCAGCTGCAAATTTAAGTAAATGAATTTGCAGTATATTTAACAGGCTATTTAAATTCAAATGTTCTGTGGGAAGTACTGCAGCTATGTCATCCTATACATATCTTCCCAACATAAAGAATGTTGTAGAGTGACTGAATTAAATTAAAGGGCATTTTGAAACATGTGACTAGAAAAACTGGAAAACTGGGAATATAACTGGGGTTATGACACTTATCTTCTACCATCTTGTGTGCTGGAAAAGGCCTTTCAGTTCTGAGGGCTGGTAGGTATGTCTGGACTTATGTAGTTAAAATGTAAATGTAGTCTAAAGGTAATGTGAAATGTCATGTTCACAGCATCATAGAATACCAGGTTGGAAGGAAGTTGAAGGGTCATCTGGTCCAGCCTTTCTTGGAAAAGGCACAGTCTAGATAGGATGATCCAGCACCAAATCCAGCTGAATCTTATAAGTGTCCAATGCTGGGGAAGTCACTACTCTCCTGGGGAGATAATTTTAATGGCTGATCTCATTGTGAAAAATTTTTATTCTGTGTCTTATCAGAATCTCTTCAGGAGTAACTTATGTCCATTACCCCATACCTTTCCTTGTGCCTCCTTGTAAAATGGGGGTCTCCATCTTCTTTGTATCCACCTTTTAAATACTGGAACATGGTGATAAGGTTTCTTTTAAGTTTTCTTTTCTCAGGGCTTAACAAATGCAGTTCTCTCAGCCCTTTCTTAGATGACATGCTTCCCAGTTGCTTCATCATGCCTGTATCCCTTCTCTTGACCCTCTGCAGCCTAGCCACTTCTTTTTTTGCAGGGGGGGACCAAATCTAAATACCATATTCCAGCTGTGGCCTGGCAGGTGCTGAGTAGAGTGGAATAATGATTTCATTATCTCTGCTGATGACACCCTTGTTGATGCAGCCCACCATTCTGCTGTTTTCTTCTCCAGAGCACCACAGTGTTCACTCATATTAGCTTGTTGTGCAACAGGACCCTCAGGTCCTTTTCCACATAGCTGCTCCCCAGCTGTGTTGTTCCCAGCCTGTGTTGTGGTCTTGGATTGCGTTTTCCCAGGTGTACGACCTTACAGTTGTCTTTGTTGAACTTCATAAGGTTCTTGTGAGACCACTCTTCCAGCCTACACAGGTCTACCTGCAGGATGACTCTCCCTTTAGAAATGTTCCATTTCCCACTTGGTTTGGTATCATCAGCAAACTTCACCAGGGTACACTTGATCCCATCATCCAGATCACTTATAAAGATATTAAACAGCATTGGATATTAACCCAGTATTGCCTGCTGGAGTATCCTGCTTGTGACAGGTTGCCAGTTCGAAAAGAAGATATTTACCACCACTTGCTGATAGGCTGGGGCTTATCAGCCAGTTCCCCACCTGCTGCATGGACCACTTGTCTCTACTATAACATATCAATATCTTTAGGAGGAGGCTATTGGAAACCATATCAAAAGCCTTGGAAAAATCCAGGTAGACAATGTCCACAGCTTGTCCCACATCAACCAAGAAGGTTACTTTCTTGTAAAAAACTGTTAGTGTTTTCTTTGGGAAAAAAAATTGCTAATCTGCATGCAGCCAGCCTTATCTGAAAGACTAAAAAAGATGTGCAAAGAAATGCAAGCCCTGGAAAATCAATCTTGACACTGATGTTTTCTCACAAAAGATTTGTTCTGAGAACTGAGTTCTCTGGAGAACTGCAGTGAGAAACATTCTTGTGCTTAAATGTTTTTTAGTTGATGCATAGAAGTACCAAGCAAGCAGGGAAAGTTCTAGTGAAAAGTCACTGGAATCAAGACGCTTAATTCACCAACTTCTCCTTGGGTTACAACTTTGCCAGTGAGACTCAAATTCTCTACAGTTTATGTTATAAAGCCCCAGTCTAAACAAAATCCAAACATAATTAAAGAAAGTAAAAGGAGAGGCTTTTACAGTCATAACATAATATATGAAAAGTGCAATGTGTCTTGTCTTTTAAAACTTCTTAATTTTTTTCTCCAGGGTGACAAAGAAGCAGAACTAGGGCTGCCCTTCTCTCCTCTGTGTGATCGGAAATCTACTATGGTTGCTCAGTCTCAAATAGGTATGTCCCTTTTGGTGCAAGCAAAATAGCATCTTAAAAGAAAAACTTCATCTTCTCAGTAGTGTTAAGATCCTAGTGATCTCATAATGTGGAATTATGTTGAAGAGAGGAAGTAAGACACAATGGCATTATTTTCCCTAGATCAACAATTCAAAGAGGAGCCATTAAATTTATGGTGATGGTTCCATACAGTAACCAAATTACCTCTGACATGTCTGCAGAAATAACTACAGTACGTGGTTATGACACTTACTCCATGATTTTGTGAGTTGTGAAGACAGGGGCACACATGAGAATATCACTGTTGTTGGTATTGTTGGTGTATATGAAAATGTAATGTTAGTTCCTTAGATGACCTGGACAAAACAATTTATTCCTTTCACCCTTTCCTTCCCAATGCTTTAAACCAACCATTGTTTTTGATCGAAGCCAAGCAACTAGCAAACATTTTCCTTTGCCACCCATTCAGAAAAATAGATCTTTTTATAGATTCACCAGCAGCATTTTCTCTACCTCTTCTTCAGTTACTGAGTGAAAAAGTAGGGGTAGGATGAAGCAATAAGCTTCACATTTAGTGAAAGAGGAAGAAGGGCTAAGTGATGTAAAACTGTTCAGGGGGATCAGTGCAATGAAGAGAAAATGGAAAAGGTGGATTTGTGGGTGGATTTTTATGCCTTGGAAGTAAGTGAAGTAGAATAACATGTTTCAGCCTCAACTGGAGAATAGGTAGCCAAATGGAATAAAAAAGGAAAGATAACATGGACACTAAAATTGAGAAAACCAGAAAGACAGAAAATATATTAAAGAAAGCAAAAAAATTTGAAGCACGAAATTTCTCTTAAAGAATGAAACAAAGATTTCTCTGAATCTAGGAAAGTACAGATTTATCTCTTTGGCTAAAAGCTGTTTCTGTTTAAAATTATTTAATTGTTCCTGGTAATCAAGCCATTATCTCAGAGACAACATCCCAGATTTTTCTGGCTTTGGAAGTTTAGACAATTCACCTAAGAATCTGAGTTTGAAGAGCTCTATACAAGCCTGGCCTGGTTACCAGGCTTGCAGCATTTACTCCTCTGGAATAATAAGTTACCATACAACTGTGTGTTCTGCCAGTAGCTCAGTGGAGGAAAGCAGCAACAAACTTGAAGTATGACAGTCTCAACTAAAACTGATGTTGAAGAGTCATGGACATAGGCTTATTGTAGTGCTGTGGGAGAAGATAAACTCTGCCTCTATGGCTGCTCTGAGGGAAAGTACAGGTAGATACTTCTCTTACACATCCATTTTATCAGCTTCTAGATATGTTCCTCACTCGTTACAGGGAAGAGAAGTTGTGCCTTCCCTGGGGTCCCTCTACATAGGTTTATGTATGCTTGGGAACCAGTCTTCCTGGTCCTCTCTTTTTGTGCTCCTTTGCTCAGACCTTTCCTCAGAAGAAGAAAGAAACCACTGTTCTGATCCCCCTTGTGTCAATCTACTGCAAAATTAATGTTATATTAAATCAGCACAAATACAATTTACCTTAGAGGCACTTTTCAGTAGGCAAAGGCAGGCTTATTTAGTCATATATCATTTGTGCAGTTTAGTAATCCATTGACATTAATGGACTACTCTTTATTTTTTGCCTTCTACCATTATTAAATTATTAATTTTTCAGTCTGCAGCACATTTTGACAGTGTCTTTCTCTAATGTCCCTTTTGTTAAATTGCAGCCACCTGTTTTCTGGCTAACTGCTGAGATCAGACTTTCAAAGTTGTAGACTAGATTGTCAGACAGATAATCTCCTTTAATTCATTTATTTACCCAATTAATAGTCGGAAAAAATTGTTTCCTGGAATAGTAATTACATTTCTTTGCAGAAGTAAGTTCTTACTGAATTCCAAATTGTGCTATTATATGGTTGGACTTGATGATCTTAAAGGTCCTTTCCAAACTTAATGATCCTATGATTGTCATCTGCACCAAGCAGCCATCAATTCTCACAAATTAAAAACCTGTGTTCTTTGTGAAATAAAATTGTACATTTTGTTCTAGCAAGGACACAGCCTAGAAATCATTTTCTGGTGGGTCAGCTTGTTTGTAGTTTTGCTGCTGTAAGGTTGTTGTAGATGCAACAACAGTGGGCACACGTTTTCATTAATGAAAACTTTTCAAAAATGCAGACTGAAGGTTTTGGCAATATGGACTTCTTGCATGAAATTAAGCAATCCAACAGAACAATACTGCTCAAAGGAAAGAATGTTTCTCTTCTGTTGCATCAGATTGTGAAAACATTGTTCAGTTTAAACTGATAAATAAAAACCCCATGAATATAAATTATTGAACTTTATTTTGAAAACCTATTAATGTTAACTATAATGACCAATTTATCATCCTTTTTCATATTCAATAGAATGAGTATGGCAAATATTTCTGTACCATAGTAAAGTACAGAAATTGGGAGAGATTTTTGTTGGGAAGTCAAGCTGCTTGTCAGAGTGGGGGAGAGAAAAAACTGCAAAGAAAACCAGACCAAGACTTTCATATTTTCCAACAAGAATATCAGGAGCTAAAACATCTCTGGTTCCAACTCTAGGAAGCTTGTGTTACAGAAGATCAGCCTTCATTGTCATTGTCCTCTTTTGCAGCTGATAAATGCAATAGCATGTTTTATTTTTTGTCTTTTTACTGTCAAGAAATAAAAAGCACTTCCAGAAAACATTGCCTAAAGGCAGATGAGTGCATGCTCATGGACTTTAGAGAAACTGTCCTCTACCCAATTTTTTTCTATGTTGATGTTCAAAGTTATAATGAGTGAACATTAGGCATATGCCTGGGATTCACTCTTAGCATGCAGCATTAACTGGTAAAATCATCTTAGTCTCTAGGGTACAGAAATGTTTATCATGCTCATTCTGTTGATGGAGGAAAAAGATGATAAACTGGTCATTAGTATTAATAGTTTTTAAAACTCAGGTTCATTATTTGATATTCAGGTTTTTAAGTAGCAAACTAAATTACCATATTTAAATCTAAGTGTTTTCAGGTAAAGAGTAAGAGTATACAATGTAAGGGAAGGCATGTAGGAATATGGCAAAAGTTACACAATTTTTAGTAAAGTCCTAGGTTTTTTTTTCTACACTAGCAGATTATGATTTCAACTTTATTATAATAACTATTTTAAGGTAACATAGTTGAATAACTTATTTATATTAACAGGAGTAGAGGCAAAAATGTAACTTATCAAAGAAAAGTTGTCCTATGTATTTGAGTTTTTTACCTGTGGTTCCTTTTGGCACCTCTGCTTATCTTTGTTGAAAAGATGCAAGACCTCTCACAGGGAAAACTTGGTTCTTAAACACTGCTGTTTAATGTGTTTATCTGCAACTGTTCAGTATCTCACAAAACATATCCCACTGTCTTGCTGCTGAAGTAAGTGACACATTCATGTGCCTGATATCAGAGATTTGCACATCTCAGGGTTGTTAGTGGTGAAGAAGCAAATGGCAGTGGTATTACTTGCTGAGCAGAATGACAAGGTACTATTACTTGGGTTTCTTTGGTCATTAAGTGGCAAATAAGCTTTTGAGTGAAGGGGAATAGAAGAGACATATAGACAGACACACACACAAATGTGTAAATCAAGTTCTCATTGTCCTAGGATTTCTGTTGCATGCTTAACACTGCTCTCAGTAAAATTTTTAGTGCTTAAAAAAATTATATGAAGTTTGCTGTGACTGTCTGGGTTGTGATCTAGCATACAATTTCCTGTTCAAGGTTTATACTGCATGCATTTCTGATTAACTACATGGGAATTCTTTTTTTTTATAAATTTTAATAGATAAGACTGACCCATAACTGAGATGAGTGTTATGGAGGCACATGATTCACATATTCAGATAAGACTGCATGTGTCTCCAGATTTACAGAACGTTACTTGAAAGTAACATTTTTAATTTGATTGGCATGAAAATGCACCTAATAATCAATCCTTTTAGAAATTTAGCAAAAATATGGGGAGGGAAATGGAACTAGGAGGATGCTCAACTGCTTTGCACTCAAGATGTGGATCGATGCACCTGTGAATTCAGATGCCTGAACCACATGATCTCTTTTGTTGTTCAGTTATCACCTAGAATCACCAGTGCCATAAAAACATATCATGACCTGGTCAGAGAAATTACAATATTATTAATGAATAAATAATTGTTGATAATTAAAAATTATCTAAAATTTTAATGATAGGGATTTTTAACAGTAGTAATTGTAACCTGGATTTCAATGTGCCTTAGAAGGGATTAAGGACTTAGTTGTTTTCTTGGCTACCTGCAGCACTAAGTAACTTCATGAAGTGCTAAATTAATTAGAGAAATGTGTAAGCTACTGTAAGCTACTCATATTCACATTTTATTCATGCAATTTGGATTTTCCTTCATCTCATGACCTTATGACCACAGGGCTCTTCAGTATGCTTTTCCCAACATTCAGATCAGAGCCATATTAATCTCTGTTAAACTGTATACTGAAGTAGAAAATATTTGGGTCTTTATTTTTTTCCCCCTTTTTTAATATTAAAAAATGTGGGGAAAGCACCTAGATCAGTTTTATTATCAACAAGATAAAAGCTGGCCAAGCACCGAGGAGAGATAATCCACAGCAACATACTGATAAGCAGTAAGGGTGGTTTAAACTTACTGGTATTATTACTGTTACAATTATTTTCTTTGAGAGAGTTCTTTGACATTGAGGTTTACTTTTAAGTTTTATCAAAATCTATAGGAATTTGACTTCAATATTCTTCTACTTGACTTCGCTACTCTTATAAAACAAGTCTTGATTAGTCTGTTTATGTTCTGATTTGCCAAAGTTTCTTTCCAATGTTTAAGTAGGTACCTTTTAATGCATGCTATATTGAGGGTCTTGGGTCAGGGATTAATGTATAACTCAATTTTCCCTTTCTAGTATTTGTCTAACCCTCTTTCAAGTTATAATTTTTTTTACTGTAATTTACAGTGTGGTCATCTGTAGTCATTGAAGAGGAACTCCACATAAATCCTCCCCTTGCCTGCTTGACTCTGCTTGTGTTTCTGTTCAGGTTTCATTGATTACATTGTGGAACCCACCTTTACTGTGCTGACTGACATGACAGAGAAAATTGTGACTCCGCTAATTGATGAAGCTTCCCACTCTGGCATGTCTGGATTTAGGAGTTCCAGGTGAATAGCTTTGCACCCTCTCCCTTCACTCTGTATGAGCTGCCCTTGCAATCAACTGCCCTGGTTTCCCTCCTCTACAGTGTATGATTTCTTGTGGTTTAAAGACTCATGTCTGCATTGTCAACACCACAGCTCACCTCATGAGGTGACTTTGTGCAGGAAAAGTCCAGCCCGGAGGAGGTCCAAGAGGGAGGAGGGTGGCATCAGCCTGAGTCATTCCTTCTAAGGCAAGGAGCACAAATGTTTGTAGCCATGCAATCAGATACACTCAGTGCTCTCTTAGTCACTAATGTCAGAGAGAAAGTAATGAGGATAATTGGGAGGCACTTGTTTCTTCATGCCTAGAAGTATAAATGGGATTAAAACCCAAATGATGGATAAAAAGAATAAGCACACTTTTTTGACAGTGTTTAGGGTTATGCAAATGTGTGAAGAACCACCACAATTCACCTGGAGTTCAGATGTAGGAAGTCTTGGCCCATTCAACCTGCACTGCTGTTTCAGATACTGCTCTTTTAGTATTTTAATTGACAAGGCATATCTTAGGATTCAAATGCCACATGGCTAGTGCTCCCTAGAGTAATGCTATCAAGTCAGGATTTGCTCCCCCAGGTGACTTTGCTCGTGAGCAAACAAAGACCAAACACTAATATCTTTCTATGTCAGTAACTTTGCTGCCTTTATTAAAATGTTCACAATAAAGTGTCAAAAGTCAACTGTAGGATCTGTAACAGAAATGAATGCCTGAGCCTCAGCTGAGATCACCAAGCCCTTGACAGAAACTGACCTGTGCCTAATACCTCCCATTGGTGAAATATAGGAAACTTCTCTTGTGACATATTTGATTTCTAGAATTGTCTGACTCTCCAGTAATATTTAGGGAGTGGAGATACACACAAAAATAGTTACAGCACTTCGAGTGATTCTATTTCTTAGTGAGAATGAATGCCAAAATAATAGATGGGGAAAAGCAGCCCTTTATTTCTAAGACTGGCTGAGGTTGCACTCTTTGATTTAATATTGGTTGGCCTGGGGCAGGAGAGAGGGGAAGGATAAGGGATTCAAGCTTAGTTTTTCATAGGTAGCTCCGTTATCTGACTTTCAATTATTATTTTTTCTTAGTTGTATTTGAGTGTATGGGATGCTGATTTCTTCTGTGTTTTGTGATATTGTGTCCCAGTTTGAATAGCATTAGTCCCTCTGGAGTTAAAAGATCAAGTGTCAATGTCACTGGGTCCGAAGGAAGTGCCTCACCCAACTGCTCAGTACTCACTGTGGACTTCAAATGTTTTAAAGCCACCTGGACTGAGGTGGTGCAGCAGAACAGGGAGAAATGGAAAGCACAAGCCACCAAAGGTAACAGCCTTTGTTAGTGAAATTATAAAATTCTGTTGACCTCTTCTTCTTCAAGCTCGTCTTCAATCTAACCACTCTTAAACTGTTAGTTTGAATCCACCTACTGAATTCAATAAGCCACTCTGAATTCAGAAAGATAGGGACATTGTGACTCACCTGTGAATTATATTCTTCTTATAAGTGTACATTATGAAGAGGATGCGAAAAATGGGAGGAGAAAAAATTTAAAGGGAATTCCTCTAAAGTCACAAATCAGACTCAGTGGGTGCAAAAATAGTTGGAATGGTATTTGTAAATATAGGTTTATTGTTCATTGTACAGGTTGAAAGGTGGTGGTCGTTTTAGAGATGGTTGGTAGTTAGGGGTTAGTTCAGGGGAGATGGATATTCTCTATTCCCAGCTAGTTTCATATTTCTGGTCATAACTTGGAAAATTAATTAGGAACTAAACTGAAAATGTGTGTGATGTCATCAGTCTGAGAAGGACTGCAAACATTTCAGAAGAAAATGAGGGCTGTGTTGGTTGAAGGTTGACCAGGGCTCAATACTGTCATGAAACTGAAAAAAGGCCCAACCAACATCCCACCACCACTGAAAAAACCCAACAAAGCAAAGCAAAGCAAATCAAAGCAAAGTAACACTTCCCCCACCCCAGACACTAAAAAACCCCTCAAAAGACTTTGCTTCTAAGACCCCTGGCATTCTTCTCATCTTTTCAGCCGTAACAAAGCCCTCAGTGCTGTTCTGTGTCCAGTTTTGCCACCACAGTTTAAAAAAACATATGAACCACTTGTAGACAATGCAGAGCACAGCAATGAAAATTGTGATAACTTGTTTATAGCTAAGGAAGTATATAGCTGAAAGCAGTTTTTTGAAGACTACTGCAGCTGCAAAATAAGGAAATTATTTTTTACTCAAATACCCTGACCATTAAGAAAAAACTAGCAGGTTATTATAGATATTTTTATAATGTCTAATAAGTTAGACATTAGCAAATCTCTATTATTGGAGTTCTTTTGGAAATACTGAGAACCATCTTTTAAGAATTATTTAGGTGTAATTGCCCATTTGCTCAAGGGTATGGATGATTGCCCAATGTATCCTAGAACCCTTAGGTGACTTAGACCAGATTTGGAACAAAAAAAAGGAGGACTATTTCACTGTTTTTTCTTTTCTTCATGAAACTGTGATACAATTTATTCTCTGATCTGAATGGTTCTTGCTCAATCCCTTATTTAATGGAGTTGTTTTATTTTATATAAATGGAAGGAATTTGATTTTAATGTATTATGTGGCTGTGACTTTAGGGATTTGGCATAGTTCTCCAAAACGCCAGAGCAGATTTTTCCTCTCCAACTGAAAGACCTGTCTAAAGGTTCAGGAAAACATGCATTATTCAAAAACAAATTTTCCTTTGTGATTAAAACTTGCCATTAATTAAAAACACTTTCTAGGCATTCCATGAAAATGAAAACATAACTATAATTCAAAATATGTTTATTTCCCAGGGACTTTTTTGTTTGTTGGTTTGGTTTTGGTGCTATTTTTTTCCCTGGTGTTTTTGTGGGTTGTTTTTTGTTTTGTTTTGTTTTGGGTTGTTTTTGGGTTTTTTTTGGGTTTTTTTTGGTTTTTTTTGTTGTTGCTGGTTTTTGTGTGTGTGTGTGTGTATGTGTTTGGGGGGGGGTTTGCTTGGTTTTGTTTTGTTGTGGTTTGTTTGGTTTTTTTTTGTTTGTTTCTTTGATTTAATACCTAGCAATTCCTTATGGACCAAATTAAAGCTAACCAAACAAGCAAAACATTTAGCATGTTCAGTGTTTTGTGGTATAGGAGAGTTGAGTGAATGAAATTACAAATTACAATACAGGTAACTAGTTTTAAGAATTTAATTTCAACAGGTACCAGGTATTTTCTTGACTAAGCATAAACTATATAAAAATCCTATGTGCAAGACAGACCTATGGGAGACTTTTACATAATTTCTGTCTTTCTAGATACATTTAGCAGTACAAGCGTGCATATTTTTTTTAATCCTGAAAGTGTTATACAAACATGTAAAACCTGTAAAACATGTAAAACAAGCATGCCTTTGTATGGGCTAAGGACTAAGGAACTGTTTTTGGACTCCAGACCACTGGCATCAGTATCTTTGCTCAGATGCTATTTTCTCTTGACTTGCAACAGGTTTCTGCACCACTCTCCTTGGCTGTCTTGTAGCAAGGCCTACCACACATCAGGGGCTTAAATTGCTGACCCTTGACAAACTGGTGTCTTGCAACCAAGATGTATCGCTAATAAAAACAATTATTATTAAGAGAATACAGAAACATTTACTGTTTGTTGACAGAAAATAAAATTTGGGATCTGAAAGGAAGGAACTTATTGCTATTTTTGTAGCTAATATTATTATTAAATTATTTGTAAAATACTGTATTCCCTTTGGTAATGGCATTGTCCCTAGAAGCCTCAGTGAGCTGTTTTCATCTTGAGTATGATACTTATAAAAAAATTCTCTTACTGTGTGGGAAAAGTGAGTTTATTACTGATTGGAGGGGTTTTTTTGCCTAGATGATCATTAAAGAGCAACGAAAAAAACACTAAACAAACACTCTACTGTACAAAGCACCATTTAGATAAAGTATTTTCTGACACTACTTTTGACAAGAGACACTTATCTAATGGTGTTTTAGCAAGCCAAATTCTCCTGAGACAAAGTTGTGTCCTGTGGTTCAGATGCAGAATAAAGCTTTTTTTTCAGATCCCCAAATGAGAGGAATCCTGTAAACCATGAGACCTTCACATTACCTCAGTTGGTTAGAGCATGGACTTGACCTCTGTATGGCCCATTCACTTAAGAGGTTTATGGATCCCTTCTAACTCAGAATATTCTGTGAAATCTGTGAGACATCCCTACAGCCTTCAGTAGCTAGTATTTCCTTTTACCTTTTAAGAATTTTGAGGAACCACTTTTTCAAAGGTGAACTTTATATGGTAAAAAAAGGATGTACATAAAATACATTTAGGACAACCAGGGGGGTTATTTTCAGAAAATGTCCTCCTATGTTCTTTTTCCATTGTCAAATCAGTTTCTATATTTATCTAAGTAAATTTGTTTGCACGTGAAAATCTGAAGTAGATTTAGATATGTGTGTTGTTCTTGTTAAATTGACTGATAGTTGTGATTTTTTTCCCTTTTTTGGCTTCTCTCTTTGCTGAGGATGCAGAAGAAAAAGCTAAGAAAGAATCAGAGGAAAATGCTGGTCAGGGAACAGATGAAAAGGAAAGAGATGAACAGGATGGGAAGCCAGGTGAAGATGTCACAGAAGCAAAGACAAAAAAGAGCAAAGAACCAAATCCCGGGGAAAGCAAAAGTGCAGATTCCAGTAAGAATCCTGTAAATGGCACCTGGCAAAGTGGTATGAGCACACATGAAGCCTATAAAGAGAAAAATGCACCTAGGACAGATAAGAAAATGTATCCTCATCATACTGTGGAAGAAGAGAAACAGCATGTCCAGAATGGTGAGTTCTCTTCTCCTACTGAAACATAAATCAGCCCTAAAACCAGTATCTCACCATCGTGATGGGGTAACCTGATGTCCTGAAAAAGCATTCTTCAGCCCAGAGTCTCTTCCTGAATATAGGCATAGTCAGCAACATATGGGAATCAGAACCCAAATTAAATTCCAAGTAGTGTTCTTCTGTAGATAGGGTTTAACATCCCTGCTTGGAAAAAAGGAAAAATTAGTTTTTTCATGGAACTGAAGTAGCCTGTTATGATACACAGCCTGGAAAGCTGAAAAAAATATTCCTGCTTCAATGAACATCTTCATTGCTTGAGTAACTGACAGAGGAGAAGCCAAAGTTGCCTTATAAACCCATTTTAAAGCAAATTAAAGGCATCTTTGATTTGAGCCTCAGATGGAAATATGTTTTGGAACAACCAGTTTTTCTCCTCTCTATTTTTAGGATTTATTTCATCTATCCTTCCTTTGCTCGGTTTATTTTTTATAAGGACAATCACTAGCCTTCATTTTTTGAGGGTTTTTTTGACAGAAATTTTATTCCAGTTATTTTAACTTGCTGTGGAACCGAGTTAAAATAAGAACCCCATTCTGCACCCAAAAAAAAGTGGAAAAAATGTCTGAAAATTCCATTAAACATTAAAAAAACTTATTCAACCGCAGAGATCACTTGTTTTTTGGTCATTTCACTGTCCTTTCCTGCACGGCTCCTGCTCTCTGGATCCAATATCAAAAAATGGCAGTACACCCACATGTATCTTTTCACAAACTTGGCTAGTACCATGCAGTCCAAAAGTAGTGGAAAAACCACTTAGAAGCCTCCTCTTAGAAAAAGACTGAATGAGCATTTAGGCTTTGAAAGTCCAGGCTCAAGTAGTGAGTTTAAATGTCAGGAGATGGTGAAAATTCTGTTTAAAAAATTCCTGATATCATTCTCAGGGTTGCTGGCTTTTCCCAGTAATTCCTTCATAATTAAGGGTTTTTTTTAGATTGGAAGGGCTGTGGGAATCAAAGCTGTCATTCTCTCTAATTCATGGGATTTTTCTTCAGACAGTGTTACATGTGTGAACAGGAATGGGACCCTCAGGAAGACAAAAAGGTCAGGGACATACGAAGTGTGAGTTAGTCTGCACCAGACTTTTCTTCTGCAATCCTTAGTTTTGCCTGCTTCTAACAATATGGGGATTATGTGTGCTCTAGTATAGATGTACAAAACACTCGCTCATGGTGAGAGACTTCTCCAGGGTCAAGCTGTTCAGGTATAAGCAGTTTATTATATGGGTAAAGGCAGGAAGAGACCTGTATCCGCCGCCAGCCTCGGCATACACGTGGCCATGGAGGGAGAGAGAGCGGAGTGGGGAGAGCAAGAGAAGAGAGGTTAAAGAGAGGGAGGGGGAAATAAGAGTAAGAGGGAGAGAACAGGGAGAACAAGGGAGGCTTAAGAGAAAGGGGGAAACAAGAGAGGAGTAAGAGAGAACACAAGAGAGTTAAGAGAGTGGGCAGAATAAGAGAGCGAAGTTCTTGTTACAATACAATATATGCTTTTCTATAGTGAATATTCTAACTCCCAGTAACCAATCACTACGAGACACACCCACTAAAGAATTTACATATACCCTATAGGAACTACTATATTACCATACAGTGTTACATTTCAAACTCTAAAAGCTTCACAAATTCTTCTCTTGCTGCTTGACCTTTGGATTCTCTATCTGCAGAAGGACATTGTTTTATCAACAAGGATTCTCCTTTAGTTGGCGAGGCTATTGTTCTTTGGATATTTATTAACTAGCACTCAGTATCCCATGACTCAAAGCTCTCATTTCTACTTAGATTTTAGGCTTCATATTTTCAGAATCTTTTGCTACACAATCATATTCATTAGGTTTCCCTGTTTCATCCTCCCCAACACTCTACTGATTTTGTTAGTCCTTTTTTTGGCAATGTGTCTCTGCTGAAGGTGTCAAAAGTGCTCTGAAAGGAATTATAGTGATTTCTGGAAATTAGCGTCTTCCTCAGGAAAATAATTTCTGCTCCTTTATTTATGGGATAAGATCTTTATGAGGAACAATCACTGCAGAGTTTCTGGGGACTGATGAAATTTTAACATTCATATGCCTAGATTTACCACAGCTTCCTTTATGTCTGTATGTTAATATATCATCTAATGTATTTGTCTTATTATTTCTCTGCCTCTGTAATCTGTTTGAAAAGATCATTATGATCATTATTCTGCTCTGCTGCTGGCAGTATGACAGGGTAGATATTACACTACTCGAAAGTCCCCTTTTCATAATATTCACTGAAAGTTCAGAAATTTTGTTATCAGGTGAGTTTGAGATATGGGACTCTGAAATAGTGCATGTGTAGGTAGTCAGCATTTTTTCCTGCACACACTTAGCAACTTGTTTATACAGTGGTCAAAAAAGTTTTGTTAGTTCATCATTACCATCAGCTGTATGATGGTGGAGGAAATGCAAGAATACTTTTGTGCTTTTCTACGTGCATATTTGTTTCAGTTCCTGAAGACTGTCACCCTTTCTTTTTAAGACCACCTTCATCAGACACCTAAACCCTGTTGGATCTGCTCATAACCTCTTTGTACAAAGACCCCAAGTCAGTGGTAGTGTGATCAGCTGAGGAGGGTGCTGCTTGTCCTCTATTGTCTTGCACCCATTTTTTTTTTCATCCACACAGTGAGCTTAGGAAGATAAACATGAAAAGTTTTGAATAAAAACTGAACCGAACATGCTTTGGTTCCATCTTGTTAAATATTTTAGGGTTTGAAAACCATTCCTCTTTTATACTCTTTGATACTATGATGAAGCTTAATTGGAGAGAGAGACTGATCCACTACTGTACAAGAATAATGAATATGCTAATGGTTAAGGCACATTGTGGAAGAAGGAGACCTCATTTCTCTACAATTTTTCTTTTTTTGAGCTGTTCCAAAAATAAATATCCACTGCCTATGAGAATTTTGAAGGCAGATCGTATATATAATCTTTAACACTTAATGCCTTTAATCTTGATCCAAAGGCTGGGAAGTAGTTATAGTACCAAAAATAGTGATATAAATTGAATAAGCATCACTGTAATACAGCCTCACATTTACAGAATTCTGAAGTGAGACTTTTACAGCTTTTTGTTTTGAGGTGTGCATCACAAAAAGAAAAAGACCTTTCTTGTTGTTTGGACACTGCAGCTGAAATAGCTCTGTTCTGCCACAGCTTTCCATATAAGTTTTTATTTGATCTAGCATTTGGCATTCTCATTCAGTGAAGGGATAGTCTGGTAAGGTCTGATGTACTTTACTCTATGGCAAAAAAAAAAAAAAAAGAGTCACTCTTGGTTGACATTCCTTCATAAAATACACCCATCTTAAGTTGCTATTTTCATTCTGCATGAACCATTGCTCTGCCAAAGGCCTTGATTTTTTTGGTTTGCTACATAGACTCTAAAGGCAATGATCAATGCTAGGATGATTGTTCCCTGATACCAAGACAAACAAATCTGTGGATAAAGGAATCTGCTAAGAGAAAGAAAGGCAAAATTACATAGGCCTGTTCAGAATATGTAAGATGGTTCTTTAAAACAACCACTTATGGTGAATCCTTGCAGGATCTTATTTCTTTGGAAAGCATAAATGTTTTAGACTTCTAATTCTGAAATTAAGCTTATGATCAGGTTTCAATGGCCCACACACAATCAGAGGAATTGTATGGATTTAAAAGGATTTAAAACTTGTTTATCTTTAGGAGTTGGATATTTTTTTTTTGGTGCTTTGTTCTATGAAAATGTGTTAATTAAGTTCTTTTTGAACTCCGACCTTGCCTCCTAAGGAGCCACATCTCCTTTGGGTGTTGCAATTTCTTTGAGTTATAAATATTAAAATGCACTCTGTATTAAAATGCTGATAGTGTTTCTTATTGTTTCTTATTGCTTCTTTCTAGGTGAATTAAAGGAAGACAATAAATTGGACAGAAAAGATAAGTTTAGTGTGGGGGATGAATCAAAGAAAGCAGATGGTAAGGATAACATTTTATTGCATTTTTGACACCCATTTTTATATGCAATCTATTGTTTCATAAACATCTCCAGTTTATTCTAAAACAAACAAAAAAGTGTTGTAACCAGAAACAAACTTAACAGAAACAGTCATTAGATTTTAAAAAAGCCATTGAAGCATTCTGAGGGAAAATCATTCCTTTCACATAATGCCTAGTTCACATAATACTTAGTTCTGCTGGTAAGCCTTATCCATCAATTTTTGTGCAGTGGCTGAAAGAAAAATCCTGGATTACTAGAGTTGCTTAATGGGAAATGCAGATTTGTGAGATTCTACCCTTCTGACTTTCTTCAGGCTGTATTCTTCTGTCTATAAGGACAGGTTGCATTGGACATGAAGAAAACAGATGAAAGAAAAATGCTGCACAAGAGGTTCTATTAAGGATGCTATTGAAAAGGGAGACTGCTGAAACATTTTTGAACTCAGTAGCAATACAGGATGGTCTCATGGGCACGTGGGAATAACTTAAATGGAGTCTCAGCCTAGTGTAGAGGTCCACAGATATTTTAGCAGCCTCAGCAATTTGGAAAAAAACATCTTGTCGCTCTATTGGGAACAGCAAGAAGAACAACACAGACTCTCTTGTGGAGTTGAACTGGAGAATTTCTCCCAGTTTATTGCCTCAGATCTTTGTTATAGACCGATACGTGAAAGTACAGAAAAGAAAACTCTTATTGGTTAGTAAACTAACACATCACCATCATTGGTCAGTGGGGTACACCACCTGTTGACCTTCTCTTGCAAGAAAACAAGGAACAGACAAACAGCACCTGCAAGGCTGTCTTCTATCTCTGAGGATTGTTTTAATTCCTCCTTATGATTTCCCAGGCCACTTTCTAATGCAAGACTGAGAAAGTTATGTAGCCTGCTATTCCACAGGCACCGTGCTCCCTGCTTCACAGTTAGTGTCCACAACATCTCTAAGTTTTGCAGCGCTTTTACACTTTTGCACTTCCTCACCCGTGTACCACAGGTCTATGAGATGGTATCTGAACCCACATTGCTTCAAAGACAATTGCTGAATTATTAGGTAGCAAAATAAATGCAAACAAATTTTCTAGCATTTTCTTTGTGTATGTATCAGTGAAATTCACTGAAATGTTACTATTTCTAAATATAAATAATACAGTGCTTTGTTTTGATGGTTGAAGCCATCAAAATTATTTAAATTCCTACTGCTCTAGCAAAGCAAGTGGTATTTACTGCAAGTGGTAAATAGGATGAAAATATAATACCTCAACTAAACACGTAGAAAATTTTATCTAGAAGCATGTATTAATTTCAGACACATATTTATGAACTTTTTCTTAAGAAGCTCCTTAGTAACACATGTTTAGAAAAAATCAGTTCTTTTGTTGAGAGGTCATGTTACTTATATACTTGAGTTAAATGTGTGTCAGGAAAACAGTCTTGAACAAGTACCAATCACAGCTCTTACTGCAGTCATGCAGAAATTAAGCAAAGATACTGGAATAACATTTGACTCCAGATTTTCATGTGTATGTGCAGTTCTGTATATAACTATCAAGACTCCAGAAAGATTAATGGGCAGAACGACTGCTCTCCCTGCTCTGGGGGGTGATGGCTGAGCAGCAGTTGTGCTGGAAGGCTGCTTCCTTGCAGGACCAGGTGAATGCAGAAACAGTGGGACTTTTTTAGGAGGACTAAAGAACACTCAGCCAAGAGAGTAGACCCATGACTCTCTAAGGAAAAGATTACATTTGAACACCTTCATTCTCAAGTTCTTAGAAAGATTAGGGCCACATATTAATTTGGGCTGGAGAACCAAGAAATGAATATCATACTAACTTAAGATTGAAGATTGAGGATGTAAATTTGGTTCTTTTCCAGTTGCTTATCTTTGGTGTTATTTATATTTGTATTTGCTCTCCTGTAAGAGATAGCTAAGTTCATCTCCTTAGGGAAAAGACCAGTACCATGGGGCCAGTTGATTACAGTGAATAAGCAACTCTAGCCATGCAAAACCAATTTGTAGGCTGACTGTTTCTCAGTCAGACAGTGTAGAGGCAGATTATAGATAATTATCTAATTGATAAAAATCAGAATAAATATTGTGAATTATGCACCTTAGAAAGAAAAACACTGGAATGGCGCTTCTGCTTTGCCAAATACTGCAGAACCTGTTCTGTCCATTAAACACTCCAGAGCAAATCTCCTTACCCACCATGTGAGGGATGTGGAGAAAGGAACATTATCCATGGATAATACATAGCTCTTTGCAGACTATTTACTTGAACATATGCTTTCTCTTGGGCTAGTGCATGGTCTTTCACACGTTACATGCTGGAAAAAAAGATTTAAGAATCAGAAAGATTGAGATTATGGCTATAATGTGCTCACCACATGTAATTTGCTGGTGGGTGAAATTCAGCCTGGACTTTTTTTCAGGGTCAAGGGTACTTGGGTTTTACAACCTCTGTTCAGTGTGTAGCTGGGGAGTATTTGTATTAAACAGGCCCATTTGTGTATGTTTAACATAAGAGCTTCAGCTTTCTCACCACTACCCTTTTGCATCAGCTGAAGTCCTGAACCGAACTGACAACACTGTCCTACTGTGTAGGCATCCTGCACCCAGAAAAGAAAGCTGCAGACTGTATTTTCCATAAATCTTTGTAGGATATGTATCCAGCTTGCTTTTTAAACTATTTACAAAGGAAACTATTGTAATATCTACTTATAGGCATACATACATGCCAAAATAATTCTAATATGTTTGTCCTTCTACTACCTGAGAAACCTAGTGACTAGAGATACACAGAAAATCTAGTCATGTTGACACAAAGATGTTGAAACTACATGTCTACCCTGTAGTCACAGGTGTGAAATGTAGCTTCATTCAGTGTCAGTTACCTTGAAGCTGCGAAAAAATACTCAAATGGGCATGCCTCCAGGAACAAGGATCAAACTCACTGTGTGAGGAACTATGTGTCTAGCCAGACCTTTGTATGACTAATTCTATCCAACTGCAATAAAGCTAGTTTGAGAGTGACTATGTAAGTTGCAGTCATATCTTGGATTTCAGACTTAGCTTCTTCAAAATCCTGTGCAAGTCTCTTGAATATAGACTAATCTTCTTCTCATGTTAATTTGATCATATTATTGGTTGGGAGTTTTTTGTTTATTTTTGTGGGTTTTTTGGTGTGTTTTTCTGTGGGAGATACTTCTTGTTACTCACTATTGTCCTTTTCCTTAGTTTCAAGAAAATAAATAAGGGGATGCCATTTCCCAAATAAAGATACATCCCTGTCAGAGACATCATCAGCACAAGTAGTTCATCAAGTATTTCCTGTGGGATAGAATATTAAACTTTTGAAAACTGTTGTTTTCAAATATTGTTAAATTTTGGAAAACTGAATTTTTCATGTGAAATTATTGCTTGGCAAGTCTTTGAATGGAAAATTATAAGCAGCCCCATGGACATAATTTTTCTTTACATTCCAACCTTTCTTTTTTTGAAATATTATTTTTTTTTCTCATAAAACTACAGCAAATGAGAAAATTATTCTTCCCCATTACAGACATTATATAAGGAAGAAATTTTTTACAGTTATTGTGGCAAAACATTGAAATATTATGTCCATTGTGGTGGTAGAAACCTCATTCCTGGAAACATTCAAGGTCAGGTTGAACAGGGTTCTGAGCAACCTGATCTAGTTGTAGATGTCCCTGCTTATTGCTGTGGAGCTGGACTAGATGACCTTTAAAGGTCCCTTTGCAATCCAAACTATTCTGACTGTATGATCCTATGATTAATGCTTTCACAGGTTGTTTCTACCACGTCCTCATTTTTTTTCTGGAAGGGAAAAGGTTCTGCAATACTAATGCAAAATTTTCAGTATAACTTCTTGTTTTGGAGAAAACACAGTCCATTCAATCAAATATACTCTCAGATACCAATTGTACACAAATAAAAAGTACCTTTTTTGTATGTTTGTCCTAGGAGTGTATTACTCTAGTGGTAACATGCATGTTTTAGCACGAAAATATACAAGATATTTGCATCTTCGACAGGTAGTACATGAAATGAAAGCCCAATGTGCTCTGGCTATGTGATGAGCAGGGCTGCCACCTCATGGTCAAATCGAAACCTGTGTTTTGACCGGTCTCTTTCAGTACTACTACGTTCTTCTATACAGTGCAACACACCAGAATAGAATATAGTCACTATAATATAATGTAATATGGTACTACATGCAACCTTTTTAATATTCGGACTATATTACATAGATGGAGGTTTTAGCTTTCTTTATTTTGATTTTTTTAAAGATAAAATGTTGCTTATCAGTAGTTAAAAGCTCTTCCTTTGGGTTCTTTACATTGCCCATGCCAACATGTAAAGCTGCCTAATTTTTCTTGATAATGATTTCTTGATCAGGAAGTGAAAAATTTTCTGATTATTAAGTTAAAGCCTTCATTTCTTTCTGTCCCAGCGGTCCCAAAAATCAAGTGGCAAAGTAGCTGGCACAGAATGTTATCTGACAATTCCTTTGGTATAGGAACATGGTGGTGAGAAGATGCCATGATGGCGGCTCCACAATTATTCTGAGAGAGCTGAATTAACAGGATTCTTCCCAGCTTCATTTGTCATAACTTCTCAACCATTTAATATTGCCTGTCCTTGCAGCTTTCTGCAAGATACAATCTTTGTGTTGATCTAGCCAAGACCACTACACAGCAATGACCACTAAGTAGACTTCTGATTAAATCCTGCTTATGTAATATTCATGATTCTGATGTTGTTTTAAAACAGGTTGCTCAAATATAAAATGAAAAGCATTTGTCTATGTCTCCTTGAGAGACGTAAAAAGGTAAATTACAGGTCATATAAATAATGGTACCGTTTCTAATGCTGTTTCAAAAGATAGGATGATCTCTCCATTATTGTCAGAAGCAAAAAATCCATTTCAGTTTGTAAGGCAAACACATAGTATTTCTCCT